ATCACCACTGATCCCACAGAAATACAAACTCAGAGAATACTATATTACCTCTATGCCAATAAACTAGAAAGTCTAGAAGAAATGGATAAATTCCTGGACACATACACCCTCCCGAGAATAAACCAGGAAAAAGTCAAATTGCTGAATAGACTAATAACAAGTTCTGAAATTGAGGCAGTAATTAATAGCCTACCAACCAAAAAAAAAAAAAAACAAAAAAAAAAGGAGGACCAAACAGATTCACAGACCAATTCTACCAGAGGTACAAAGAGGCGCCTGTACCATTCCTACTGAAACTATTCCGAGCAACTGAAAAGGAGAGACTTCTTTCTAACTCATTCTATGAGGCCAACATCATCCTGATACCAAAATGTGGCAGACACACAACAAAAAAACACAAAACTTCAGGACAACATCCCTGATGAACATCAATGTGAAAATCCTCAATAAAATATTGGCAAACTGAATCCAGAAGCACATCAAAAAGTTTATCCATCACCATTAAGTTGGCTTCATCTCTGGGATGCAAGGCTGGTTCAACATAAGATAAGTGGTGCTGAGGGTGTAGAGAAAAGGAAACATTTGTAAGCTGTTGGTACGAATGCAGATTTAGGTAGCCCCTTTGGAAAACTTCATGGAGCTTCCTAAAAGAAATTCAACGTAGAACTACCATACAGTAACTCATGTAGAATTACCATAGTAATCCCTCTTCTGGATATATCACCAAAGGAAATGAAACCACCACCTTATAAGGATATCTGTGTGTCCATGCTCATTGTAGAATTATTCTCAATAGCCAAGGTAGGGAAACGACCTAAGCATCTACTGATAGAGGAAGGGATAAAGAAACCATGGTATGCATATACAACAGAATACTATCTGGCCTTACAAAAGGAGATCCTGCCATTTTCAGCAACATGGATGAATTATGTTCAGTAAAATAAGCTAGATATAGGAAGATAAATACTACATGAACTCACTTATATGTGGAATCTTAAAAACATAAAAATAAACACAAAGCAGCAGAGTAGAATAGTAGTTGGGGAAAGGTACAGGAGAAATGGGAGATGTAGGCCAAAGGGTAGGAATTTTTTATTTACACAAGATGAATAAGTGTAAAGAACTAGCATACAGTATAAGCACCGTAGTTGATGATATTGCATTTTATACACTGGAAATTTGTTAAAAAAATAAATTTTAGATACTCTTACCACACACACACACACACATATATATACATGTCAAAAGGAAAGGTGACTATGGAAGATAATGTAGTAATTTATTAAAGTATTTGACTAGTATAAGCACTTCACCATGCAGATGTATACAAAAACATGTTGTACACCTTACATTTATACTAAAATTATAATAAAAATATTAGTTGGCTGGGTGTGGTGGCTCACGCCTATAATCACAGCACTTTGGGAGGCCGAGGCGGGTGGATCACGAGGTCAAGAGATCGAGACCATCCTGGTCAACACGGTGAAACCCCGCCTCTACTAAAAATACAAAAAATTAGCTGGGCATGGTGGCACGTGCCTGTAATCCCAGCTACTCAGGAGGCTGAGGCAGGAGAATTGCCTGAACCTAGGAGGCGGAGGTTGCGGTGAGCCCAGATCGCGCCATTGCACTCCAGCCTGGCTAACATGAGTGAAACTCCGTCTCAAAAGAAAAAGAAAATTATTTTTCATAGAAACAAAATATAAATTATATTAAGATAACTGTATACATATTTTAAGCATTTCTCAGTATTAATTTTTAACATGGTGAATATTAATAGAACCCACAAAAATAATTACTAAAATAAAAATGTCTGCCCCATTCTACTGAGAGATCTTCAGGGAAAATATTCTAGTAGTCCAGGTTAATTTTTTTTTAACTCTATAGTTTTTGTGGACATAATTACCAAGTCAAAAAAGAATTTGCCTATGAATCATCGGTTATTTCAGTGTCCTAGGCATCTCTAAAAATAAGCTGCCAGACAACCTGAACATGGAAAAGAATTGAAAATTTCCCCATTCAGATGTATTCTTTTTGTTCACTGGTAACTGTAGGAATTTTTAGAAATCAAGTTGCATTCTCGATGTTCACTGCATTCAATCTCATGGATGTCATGAAAATGTTCCCTTATTTATCTGTATGCCTAATCATTAAACTGTAGTATGAAATAAATAATAATTCACTTGAAATGCTCCTCTGTAGTTACTGCAGATTTGAGTGTGATTATTTAAATGTCACCAAACGAGGCAGAGTAGGATGATTACCAACCACCTGCCCATCAAATATATTCCTCTTGAAAGGCATCAAAACTCATGTGCTTGCAGGTAAGAAGCATGATATAATTATTTCATTTTACTTTAATAAATTATGCTTCTGTTTACTACTGTGAGCCAGAGAGGATTGAAGAGAAAGTGGAATGGACTAAAAACACTGAGAAATAAAGCACAGCTAAGGAGACAGCCAGAGAAGTTGTAGCTCTGAAATTGACTGCTTTCTCTCAAACACTGAGAGACTTTCTTTCTCATACAGATTAGCATATTTTTCTCAGAAAGGTGGAAGGGGACATTTGGAAATTCTGCAACCAAGTCCCACACACCAAATGGCTTAAAACACAGAAATCTTAGTTGAGACTACAGGCATGCACCACCATGCCTGGCTAATTTTTGAATTTTTAGTAGGGATGGGGTTTCACCATGTTGGCCAGGATGGTCTCGAACTCCTGACCTCCAGTGATCCACCTGCCTTGGGCTTCCAAAGTGCAAGGATTACAGGCATGAGCCACCATGCCCGGCTTTTTTTTTTTTTTTTTTTTTTTTGAGTTGGGGTCTACCTATGTTTCCCAGGTAGGCCCACAATTGATCGTCCCACCTCAACCTCCTGAGTTGCTGAGATTATAGGTAAGTATCATCTTGCTTGTCACCACAGACCCCTCTAATTCCCTTTCATAGGAAGTCACTGAGAACCAGAAAAGCTTGAGCCAAGAACCAGGGAAACTGATATTTGAACTCATTTCTGTTGGGTGCCAAACTTCTCTGTGCCTCCTTCTGTGAAAATTGGAGGTGGCAAGATACAGTGGCTCACACATATAATCCCAGCACTTTGCGAGGCCTGGGTGGGTGGATCACCAGAGGCCATTGCACTCCAGCCTGGATAACAAGAATGAAACTCTGTTTCAAAAAAAAGAAAGAGAAACAGAGAAACAGAGAGAGAGAGAATGAAAAAGAAAGGAAGGAAGGAAGGAAGGAAGGAAGGAAGGAAGGAAGGAAGGAAGGAAGGAGGGAAGGAGGCAGGGAGGGAGGGAGGGAGGAGACTAAGAGAGAGAAAGAGAGAAGAAAGAAAGAGAGAGACGGAGAGAGAGAAATAAACGAAGGAAGAAAATCGGAGGCATTAGTCTCTTAGTCTGCCACACTCTGGAGTAATTGTGTCCCTGCTTGAATGTGATCTACTTGAGGCAAAATCTGGGTCTCCTTCCTCTTGCGTGCCCACCCTGGCCTGTGTGTCCCACACTAGCTGCTCAATGAAGGCTGGCCCATGTAGAGTATGGGTTTGAGGCATCCCAAGACTTGGAGTTGTAGAAGAAATGAGTGAGAAGCCTTGGAACGCTCTGCCCATCAGGAAATGTGTCTATCCCAGAGTTCAGTCAAGAATCTGTGCTCCCTCTGACGCCAGCGCTCAGAGCTCCCCTACCCAGGGTGGAACCTTGGATGGCCAAGGACATTGACTCAATATTTGCCTTGAGTAGCTGGGTGCAGTGGCTCCAGCCACTGTTGGATCTGTAATCCTAGCACTTTGAGAGGCTGAGGCGGGTATTCAGAATATGATAAATGTACTATCTGAAATGTTTTGAGTGTAACACAAAATTTGAAAGCAACTTTTAAAATTAGATGTAATTCCATTACATCAATATAAAAAATTCCCTCATGGCAAAACATGGTAAGCAAAGTCAAAGGACAAACAACAAACTTAAAAGCAACAGTATAAGTCACATCGCCAAGAGCTAATTTGCTTAATATAGCTAAAGCTCCTACCTATCAATAATAAAACAGTAACCATACAACAGAAAAATAGGTAGAATATAGGAACAGTGAGCTCTCAGAAAGAATTACAAATGACTCATTCACATGAAAAGATGCCCAAACTCTGTAATAAGAGATATATAAGTTAAAAATCAGAATAAAATAACACTTTCACCAATCAGATAAACTCCAATAGCACTCTGTACTGTTGAATGTATAAGGAAACAGACACACTAAAACCTTGGTGGAAGTATATACCGGCAAAATGTTAACGGAGAACAATTTGGAAATGTGGGAGATGATGTATTTGCATGAATGTATTATGTACTTCAGTGCTGATATAACAGGAAAAGTGGCGGGGACTACTAAAGCATGTTACATTCAGTCGATGGCGTGAATGCTCTACAGCCATCACAAAGAATGAGGCAGTCCTGTAAGTACCAAGATGAAGTGATCTTTTAGATACCCAGATCAGCAGATCTTTTTCCTTGTTGGCTTCACTACTGGTAGAGTCATCTTTGGTAAGGTAATGCAGAACATCTAATTCAAGAATATGACCTCCCATAAATACTGAAGAATTCAAAGCTACCAGTGGAGGAAAGAGCTTATAGAGCAGTGTAAAAATCTACAAATTACCTAGAACACAGAACACCCTGCAGAAAACTCTAACAAAAAACATCCAAAACGGAATTCTTTACTGCACTTGCACACTAACCTGTCTCATCATCCTACCAAATCTGCTTCTTTTCCTCCTCAGACAACCCCAGGTAACAGCACAGAGAGCCCAGACAGCCTTAAACTCCATGTGAGCTCATGATGCTAAAAACAACCAGAGGGTGATTAACTCATGAATCCCCAAGTGTGTTCTCAGATCATCCACAGGAACCAAAAAGCAGTGAACTTCTCCAAATGCACAGAAACAAAAGCAGAAAGCAAGTGATTTAATCAAGACACCACAGAGATTAAAGGAAAGCATCTACTTACCACGTGAATGAGTGTTTGTCTCATTTTGATCTCTGTCTTAACCAACTATACAAAATTCCTGTGAACTGAGAAAAGATTTATTATAATCCCTTGTGAAATCAGAGGTACTAGATTAACTGAATCCATAACTGCTAAACTATGAAACATAACTAAAGGCTAAACTATGAAGCTTCAGTTTATTTTAGGCAACCTTCTGACATATACACAATCTAGATAAAAAATAAAGCTCTGGCCGGGCGCGGTGGCTCAAGCCTGTAATCCCAGCACTTTGGGAGGCCGAGGCGGGTAGATCACGAGGTCAAGAGATCGAGACCATCCTGGTCAACAAGGTGAAACCCTGTCTCTACTAAAAATACAAAAAATTAGCTGGGCATGGTGGTGCGTGCCTGTAATCCCAGCTACTCAGGAGGCTGAGGCAGGAGAATTGCCTGAACCCAGGAAGCGGAGGTTGCGGTGAGCCGAGATCGCGCCATTGCACTCCAGCCTGGGTAACATGAGTGAAACTCCGTCTCCAAATAAATAAATAAATAAATAAAGCTCAACAACATACGCACATCCCCAGAAAATCACACAGAACACCAACACATAGAAAGGGTGGGCCTGCTTCCTATCCACAACACTGTCAAGCTTGCTCTGGTAAATGAAAGCCAGGAAGCTCATCCCTGAACAGGATGAAGGGGGGATGAATACAAGAACAAGGGAGCCCTTCTATGAAGAGAGTTTGGAGTGTGTCTCTGTATGTATATGTACTCACGTTTTTAGTCTCTTAGGTGTGTGAAAGGAAAACAAATCTTGGGGCCCCTAAATCACTAAGCTAAAGGGAAAAGCCAAGCTGGGAACTGCTTAGGGACAACCTGCCTGTCACTGATACAGATGCATAGCTAATTGCCTCCTTTGGAAAGGCTAATCGAAAACTTCAAAAGAATGCAAGCATTCCTCTCTCTCACCTATCTGTGACCCAGAAGCTCCTGCCAGCTTCAAGTCTCCTTCCTGTCTTTGCTTCAAGTTGTCCTGCCTTTCCGGACACAGCCATTGTACTTCTTATGTACGCTGGCTGATGTCTCACGTCTCCCTAAAAGGTGTAAAACTTAGCTGCATCCCGACCACCCTGGGCACATGTCATCACGACTTCCTGAGGCTGTCTCAGGAGCGTGCATCCTCAAACTTGGCAAAATAAACTTTCTAAATTAACTGAGACTTGTCTCACATTTTCAGGGTTACAAATAATACCAGCGAATCAGGAGACCCGCTGAAGGGAAAAAGAAGGTAGTCTCACTTCATTATGATTGCAAAACTGAATCTGGTATATCCATACAATAGGATATTACTTAGCAAATAAAAGGAAAAGAACTACTGACACAAAAACACCATGGATGAATCTCAAAATAATCACGTTGAATGAAAAAAGCCAGGAAAAAAGAATACCTACTGTATGATTCTATTTATATAATGTATAAGTTAGAAAATGAAAACTAATCTACAGTTACAAAAAGCTTATCCATGGTTGCCTGTGGATCAGAGGCAGGAGGGAGACAGTATTGAAGGGTACAAGGAAACTGTTCCGATGACAAGTACGTCTATTATCTCTAGTGGTGACAGCTCTATGGCTGAATACCTACGTGAAAACTTCTAACTTTACACTTCTAATAGGTGCAGCTTGGGTGTC